AGACCTTCTGTGGAGACAGCATGTGCACTGTGGGAAGGACCTGTGTCCCAGGCTAGCCGTGCCCCAGGTCCACATGCACAGACCATGCCATTCTCAGTAGCACCCCTTTTGGAAATGAGTAATTGGAAAGCACAAGCACCTGAGCATTGGTTGTCACTGCAACAGCACATCCAGCCTCTACTGCTTGGTCTGCAGAATGCCTCACGATCGGATTCTTCCCTACCGCGTCATTTGCTAGGAGACCTTGCTCACTGCCACCTCCAGTTCTTGTCCTGCCTTTCATGGTCTCTGTTTCTTTCATGAATCAGCTGCAGTTTTTCTGAATTTCAACAAGCAAGACATGTGAGAAGCACAGAAACACAGATGTGGTTAAGAAATTCACTCCAGGAAGACTTTGTAATTACTTAGTTTCTCCCTGTGTGATGCTCCATGGGGCACCCAGCTGTAGTCACAGTGTGGCAGTTCATTAGTGTCTGGGGGGTCTAGACCTTAAACTTGTTTGTTTGTGTGTTTTGTGATACTGGGATTGAGTTCAATAGGTCCTGAATTATATCCCCAGCAATCTTTTGTTTTTGTTTTTGAGACAGACTCTTGCTAAGTTGCCCAGCCTGGGCTTAAACTTACAGTCCTCCTGCCTCAGCTTCCTGAATAACAGAGGTTTCAAGCATGTGACACCACACCCAACTTGAGCTTTTTTTCATAGTGTCCCAAACACAGACCAGTACTACACATCAAATGCTGGGCTATTTACGGTACACGCTTTGCACTTCTCTCATTGGCTGTAGTGTATTTCCCTGAAGTTAGCAGCTCACCATAAACTCCTTTCACTAGCTCCTCATTTTCATGATAATTCACTTTTTTCCACTTACCCTAATACTCCTCCTGCTTTTGAGACAGCTCAGATTCAACTCCTCCTGCCCTGTTCCTGAGGTCCATCCTGGCTTTTATCATCTTCCAAAATACTTTCACCACTCCCCTTCGACCACCATCAAACCCATTTATACTGCGTTTTATGTGACTGTGTGTGACAGTTTCCCCCACTGGACCAAGGGCCACTTAGAAACAGAGACAACTTATTGTGTGGCTTAGTACAAGGTTGTCCAACAAAGTGTATGCTGCAAGTAAAGAAAATAGTAGGATTTCCCCTAATAACCTTGAAAAAATATGTAAAGAAAATATACAAAGATATACTACTTGTTGAGGAACTATACAAACAAAAAGCAAAGATGCACTGCACAAGTATGAAACATCCTTTATGTTGCCCCATGCATTTGCTTGCTAGAGTGGTCATAACCCACACAAATTCATCTTCTCACAGTTCCGGAGGCTGGGAGTAACAATGTCAGCAGGGTTGGGTCCTCTTGAGAGTCCTCTCCTTGTCTTGTAGCTGCCACTTCTTGCTGTGTCTTCACATGGCCTTTCCTATGTGCAAAGCATGGTTGGTGTCTCTTCCACTTCCTTTTTGGGTGCTGGGGATGAAACCCAGGACCTTGTGCATGTTGAGCACCTGCTCTACCATGAGCTACAGTTTCAGCCCCTCTTCTTCTCCTTCTAAGGGCCCCAGTCCAGCGGAATTAGGTCCCATCCATATGACCTCATTTGACATTAATTGCTTCTTCCAAGGCCCTACCTCCAAATGCAGTGACATTCTGAGGTGTCCTGAGGAATTAAGCCTAATTTTAGAGGGACATAATTCAGTCCATTACACGCTTTACTAAGAGTGTAAAATAGCCAGAATCAGACTATAATAGAACACCAGGGGTTAAAGACATGCATTTGTATTTTGGAAATTTCTGAACAGATTGAGGCCTAGCAGATATTGTGAAATAGAATTCTAAGAATAAAGTACTTTTTTTAAGGATATGTTGAAGGAGAAGAACACTGAGGGGCAGGGGTTGTATGAAGTCTTGATCTCTGTGGAGTGGGTGAGGGAGCCCCCCTCCACTAGGAGGGAGGGGGGACCAAAGCCACATACGGTCATGGAGATTCTAGGCAGCAGCCTGGGTTGATGGGCTGCTGCCCTGTGTGGAAAGAGGGAGGTTACAGGTGCTGCCAAGGTGAGACTGGATTGAGGAGAAGATGGAGAAAGGAAACTTCTTTTGTTAATGCTGGATTTAAAAATGTGCCTTCCTGTCTTCTTAAAAAATGCTATAGCCTCTCTTAATCGCAACCTGCCTGCTTCAAGAGTACCCTCCCGGGGCTGGGGATTTAGCTCAGCGGCACAGTGCCTGCCTGGCAAGTGCAAGGTCATGAGTTCGATTCCAGGTACTAGGGGAAAAAAAAAAAAAAAAAAGAGTACCTTCCCTGTAGGAGGACAGGTGGATCTTGTAAGCAGCCTGGCTCTAGGGCACATTAATAACCATTGCTCTTGCGGTATGTCACAGTATCTTCCCCACAGTCTTTTCTTGTCATGGGATAGCTTTTGTGAATTGTAAGACATGCCTGCTGGGCCACTGCTTTCACTACCCTAGCATCAGTGCAGTTATTTCTTAGACTTCGCAAAGGGCTCTCCAAAAATGTTGCATAAGCAATTAGGTGAATGTCTCCAGGGCACCCCGGTTCTCCTTGACCCTAGCAGCTCTCTGTCCTCCATAACACATCCTCCCATCCTTCAAAGTTCTGCACATTAAAACTCACTGGGGGAAAATTCTACAAAAACAAGAACTTGGAGAAAACTTGGTATTGGCTGCCTGAAAGGATGTCTTAGGAGCTTGGCTTACCTAAGAATGGATCATTTAGATAACATGGTTGTCAAAATGTCATGTCATCTCTGCTATTTCCATTTTGTCTCACTCTTTGAGTTGCTTTTTATTTCTCCCAAGTGCCTTTCCTTTCTTATCAAGATTGTTGGGCCCAGGATATAGCCCAGCAGCACAGCACCTGCCTGGCAAGGGTGAGGACCTGAATTTGATTCCTGGTGCTAAAAAAAAAAAGTTGTCAGTTTGCTTTGGAAATACAACATTGTCTCAATACAGTATTGTGGGGGATAACTACAGGTAATGGAAGAAAACTCAAAACACGTAGGCAGTTCGATGGCTGCATTTGTTTTTTCTTTATTAGCTTTTTACAAACAGGTTTCAGTGGATTTTATTGTACATTAATTACCTTGACTAGCAGGAAATAAATCATATCTTTGTGTATGAGCATGCATTGCTGCTAGGACATAGCTTTTACTGTATTAAAGCTGCTCAAGTTGTTTTAAAACTGGTTTATGGTTTTAATATTTCAAATAAATGTGTTTCTTTTCCTTTTCAATACTGTTAATGTGTCCCTGAAGTTTTATTTCCAAGATGGCTTAATTATTTAAATTAAGCACTGTGTTTTTCAGAGAGAAATAATTCTAAAAATTGCAATGTAGCTAGTTGTTTCTATTCTGGAAACAGCTGTACCGTTCTGTGACTTCGTTAGGGCCACAGCTTAGTAAAATATCAGAGGTGAAAGGACTAGAGTTTGTTCATGAACTCTTGACCCTGTCAACACAATCCTTGTTTCTGTAAAGATAAAAAAGGCTCTTAAATATAATCTGAAATTCCAGGCAAATTAAAATGAAAAATTGTCACCAACACCACAGCAGAACAATATGATACAGTATTTTTTAAAAAGACACAAATAGTTTTGCAGTTCTGATGCCTCTGAGGGCAAGGGCCTGATCACTGTAGAAAATGGTTCACTAGATTAATGCCCTTGTTTTACAGGAAAAAACACAAGAGCCAATAACTCCAAGAGGGCTCGCGTACTCAGGAGCTTAGAAACAGAAGTTAGTCAAGAACCCAGACTTCCTTTTATTTTTTTAACAGTTTATATTCTTTACTTCTGAGTTACTTATTTTCTACAATATTTCTTCTTACTGCCATTTTTCAGTCAATTGTATTTTTTTGTACACTACTGCAGTACATAATGATTGCAGTTATCACGGAGAACTGGTGTATATACCTGATACATCTTGGTTCTTTTTTCTCCTTTTTTCCATCCCCTACCCTGCCCTTCCCTGCCTGCTCCTTCCAACTTTGGTCCCTTTCCCACTTGCAAAAGCTCTATTTCCATAATTTTTCCCTTCAATTTTTTTCATCCACTTTCCCTCCATCTCTTGTTCTTCCATTCATTTGAAAAAGATCTCCCTACTTCCTATTTATGTATCTTCTTTTTGTCTATATCAATATATAGATATAATATACAGTTCCTCATATAAGAGAAATATATAGATATAATATATAGTTCCTCATATAAGAGAAACCATGTGATATTTAAGCTTGTGTGTCTGACTCACTTCACTTAATATTATGGCTGAAGTTTCACTCAATATTATAGCATCTGTTTATCTGTACATGCCTCAAGTGTATCTTTATGGCAGATTAGTAGTACTCATTGTGTATAAATGCTGTGCTACATTTGCTTTATCCATTCATCTGGGGATATAGGTTGTCCTCAAGATTTAGCTTTTATAAATTATCCTATATAAACATGTATCTATCCCTGTAGTATGATGGCTTTAAGTTTTTTGGAAAGATTCTTAGAAGGAGGATAGCTGGGTCAAATGGAATGTCTAGTTTTAGTTTCTGAGGAACCTCCACACTGATTCCCATAATGGCTGTACTAGTTTATATTCCCACCAACAATAAGGAGTGGTCCTTTTCCCTCACAGCTTTGTCAGCATTTGTTATTATTTGATTTATTGGTGGTAGCCTTTAATTTGTATTTCTCTAATGGCCAGCAATGTTGAACATTTTTTTCATTATTTGTTAGACATTTGTTCTTCTGAGAAGTATCTATTCATTTTGGTTGCCCATTTTATGACTAGGTCTTTTATTTTAGGGATCTGATTTTTGGAGTTCTTCATATATTCTAGATGTTAGTCCTCTATGCAAGAAATAGCTAACAAAACATTTTCCCCATTCTGTAGGTTGTCTCTTCACTCTATTGGTTGTTTCCTTTGCTGGGCAGAAACTTTTTACTTTGCTGTGACCCCATTTATTGATTATCACTATTATTTCTTGTGCCAGTAGAAACCCAGACTTCCTGTGGGAGGCCACTGCTCTGCCTGCAGCACCCCCCAGTTGCATGAGACTGCTCTCTTGTAAAGGAGACTTCTGGTCCAGTGCCATCTCCCTGGATCTAATATTTCAACACTACATTGTCAGAACAGAACAGTGGCCAAGGTCAGAGAGATGTCTTAGACGTGGCTGGTCCATGGGTCCTGGTTTTATTCCCTTTATTTCATTCTGATCATTTCTACTGTCATGACACAGGCTCACTTTCTGGGAAAGGGGTGGGGCAGAATCTAAACTTGAAAGTGGATTCATTTTTGATTCAGGTTTGGGTCTTTTTTCACTTGTAAAGCTGGGATGGGTGCTTATCCCTGTACAATTCAACAGGTCCTCACCTCTAATTTGTTTCTTAAAACAGTGTATCTGGTGGAGAGCTGTTTGATCGGATAGTGGAGAAGGGATTTTACACAGAGAAAGATGCCAGCACTCTGATTCGCCAAGTCTTGGATGCCGTGTACTATCTCCACAGAATGGGAATTGTCCACAGGGACCTCAAGGTGAGACTGTTGCTTAGCAACACTTTCCAGCCACTCCACACCCACAGTGCACTTGTCCAAGAGGATTGGCTTTGGTGGAGGGATGAGGCTGCTTTGAGTAGAGATGTGTGGAATAAACTGTGGGCATTTGGGGTCCAAAAGTAGCTCAGAAAAAGATGAAAATCAATGTTGTTGGCCATTGTCTGGGAGATTTTATAATCATTAGGCAGCCAAAGGTCACTTGTGGATTACTTCAAGTCCATGTACGAGATCGTTCTGTTCAAGACACAACTTTTCACCCAGGGCAGTGCTTCAGAGCCTTGTCCCCGCTCCAGCCCCATTTCATCACAACACACTGTAGGAAGGAGCAGTAAACAGCATGAGAGGAGAGAAAAAGGGAAGAGGAGGTACGAGCAGGCAGCTCTGAAATGAGCTGCACTCAAGCTTCCTCTAGTGTCCATTGACCTAGTGACCCTTCTTCACCTGTTAGCCCTGAAGAGTCTGGAGCTTATTGTGGGCACCTTAGCATCACCTTCGCCTCCCCACACCCCAGGTCTGTGTAGACAGTGAAAGGTAGGTAAAAAGCCACATAAACTTGAGAAACAGTGAAAAGCAACATTGGTGCCCCAGAAAGTAATGTGGCTTAGTGCTACAACAGTTATGTGTCCAGCCCTGGAGGTCACTGCACCAGTTCAGACAGAAATCCCACCCCAGCACACATCCACACCCTCAAACATAAATATGACAATTGAGTTGTACTGAAGCCATACTATGTGAAATTGTAGGGAATCCAAATCAATTTTAAAAACCAGTCAGAGGCTAGGGGCATGGCTGCGTGGTAGAAAACCTGCTTAGCATACGTGAGACCCTGGATTTGATCCCCAGCACTGCAAAAGAAGAAGAAAGACTCCGAAACATTTGCCCAGTTTCAGCACTTGCCACTCATCCTGTCAGAAAGACACAGTCAGGCAGCAGATGGGGCTCGGTGTAGAGTCGTTGCCTAGCACACACCAAGCCCGGGCTCCATCCCTAGCACCACAAAATGAACACTCACTGGCTAGTTTTCTGTTCTTTCCATGTGTCATTTTCTGCCAATTTCTCATTTTCCCAATTCTCTTTCCATGCTTCCTTTGCAAAGGCATTTTAAGATCTTTCTGGGGTCTTTCAGAGACGCAAAAGCTTAGCTTGCATCAGATCATCTGGAGGGAGAGAAAGCACCTCCTGCTGGCTCCATCCAGAGGTTCTGATTTTGTAGGTCTGCAGAGGTGGGGAGCCTCGTTTCTCGGGTTTGTGAGAGATGCTGCTCTAACAGCCACTCTTGGAGAAGCACTGGACTAAAGAGTTGGGGATCTCAGTCTGTCCTTTCAGCTTTGCCTTTTGCACACTGCTTGACCAGTGAATGGGCTGTGAGCTTGATGGGCTAATCTTTGGGTCTGAGGCCCGTGCAGGAAGCCAGTGAAAGGCCAGATAGCCATGCCGGCACCTCCTTGCCAGGCAGCAGGGCTTTCTGTGCTCTCCTGCACCAAGTGCCAGGTCTTTACTTCCAGAACACAGCAGGCAGCTGTTGCTGAACAAGTTAGTGCTGTGAGCACAGAGATGTGGTATCAATAATTACTAGAAAAATAATTTCAAAGTGAATGAGCCTTATCCAGGAATGGTGGCATTTATAGTATTTCCCCTAGGCAGATTGGCTAGATAGGAGATGGTGTTTTACTCCCACATAGTGCTGGTGGAAAAGGTACTTGCAGCTTCAGCCTGTGGAGCTTTGAGATCACCAGGCATATCACTGTGGGAAAAGCATGCCACATTAGGACTTTGTTATGGTCTCTTTGCCTCTGCACACATGAGTTTGATCTAGGTGGAGGAAAATGGAATTGCAATATTAAATTTTCAAAGATATTAAATATCATATTAAGAATATTAAAATCATTAGTGTAACCCAGACTAAAGCAGGAGAGGGATTGATAGTGTTAAGGATAAGTGCATAGTCTGAGACGCTAACCTACCCCACATGCAGACATACTATATAATTCTTCCTCCTTCCAGAAAGGCGGTCCTATGTTTTGTTCTTTTTTCAAAACACAGGGAGTGAGACAGGAAGTGTCTAATTGTGGCCACCTTGGATTAGGATAGGGTTTCTCAACCCCTGCACTATTAACATAAAGAAAGCTGGACCTTTCTTTATGCCGGAGACTTCCTGGGCCTTGTAGGATGCTTAGCAGTGGGGTTGGCTTCTACCTGATAGAAGTGTCAGGTATCAGTCCTGGAGCTGCCACAACCAGAAATGTCTCCAGGCATTGCCGGTGTCCCCTGGGGGCCCAGGTTACCTGTAGTCCAGAATTAGGAATGTGATTATACGTAACATGAACTTTACTGAAAGTGTGTTGACTCAGTTCTTTTTAAAGATTATGTGATTAGTTGTAAAGAGTTGAGATTGGTATTTCAACTCTGATATTGGCAACCACCAGTTGTCTTACAAAGATGCCACAATATGCAGCAAAATAATTTTTCAGGTGAGAGCTTGCCTCTTAGGTCCCCAGGAAGAATGGCAAGAGTGCGGCAAGATCTGTCTCTGTGGCCCCCACCCCCAGGTCTCCTGCTGTGCCCTGGGCGCCTCTCGTCCAGACTGTTCTGAGGTCATCCTCTGCATCCTCTGTGTCCTCCTCCCCAGTTTACCTAGTCCACCCACAGGAAAAGCCTTGCCTTTGTCAGTTACTAAGTCTTAAAGCAGGTCAAAGCATTGACTGTCCAGTTGATTTTGCCTTCCTAGGGGATAACCCTTCTTCAGAACAGCATTTTATTGATCTAAAGGAATCTCCGGTGAGAAAACTGTGTGGGAGATCCTGTTGGCCCGTGGAAGTTCCTTGCCTGCACCAGGCCTTCTTTACTGGCATGAGATCACTTCCTTTCCACTTCTGCCTTACCTCTGCATATGCAGAAGTCATGGGGCAAGGAAGTTTAAAAATCAGAAACTACAGAAACACCTTCTCTCTGCACCTATGATTGAACTGGTTTATTGATGGATAATCACTAAACATTCAGAAAAATAATGAACTGCGTGCACCTTGTGATTAGAATATTTCACCCCATTTTCTAAGCTTTTTTCCTTTTGATTGCCCTGTTCTATTTTCTTTTAAAACTCATTTGAAAACATCCTTCAGCACATGCTTGATTTTCTTCTAATTTCATGCTTCACCCACAGATTGTCACTGTAACTATTGAATCCCATTTCTTTTTGTGATATTTTTGTGAGTGAAAGATTGTACTTTTTTTCCGTTTGGGCTCTGTTAAAAAACAGAATTATTTTGACATTTGTTAAAATGGTAAGAAAGCCTTTATTTAAGACTGCTGTGTTAGAATAAAGAGATTGAGCTCAATTCCTAATACAACAAGAACAAATGGGGATGTCAAGTCAAGGAAACAGGATTGGGGAGCTAACCAGTTACCAAGAGGAGATACAAGGGTTGGTGGATCCTTGCTAAGGATGTAGTGGGATTCTTGCAAAAGGCAGGCCAAGAACTTGGACATGGAGAATGAGGTGGGGCCCAAGCATCTGAACTGTAGAGCTCCAGGGTAAGTGGGATACTCATGCACAGCTGCTTGTGCGAAGAACTTTTGAGAACTGGCCAAACACCACCTTTGACTAAATTTGAGTTGGGCCCCGCTGGAGTCAGGCTTTTCTGAGTCCCATTTCCACCAGGTCCTGACTGTGGGCTCTGACCTTAATCCAGCAAGAATCTCCTGAGTCAGTTTAGCAAAATTCCCACACCCTTGATAGCCAAAGTCCTTGACCTCCTCTCTCAAGACCCCGTCCCCCTGACCTGCCCGGACCACAAATTCAATCAAGTGGTTTAGCCAGAATCCCCCTTACTCCTGAGACTTCCTCATCGTAATTTTTCACCCACTGACTCCCACCTTGCTCTTTAGCCCTAAATCTTCATTCATCCTCTTGTAATAGTTTAAGTCCACTTTCTCTCCCCGTACTGCAAAACCCCATTGTTGTAGTATTTCCCATCTGCTAAAGTGCCCGAATAATTTTTCTCTTTAATAACATCAAAAGTAGAAGATGAAGAACTTGGCAAGATTTCAGGGTTGGGGATTGTCTCCAAACTTATTTAGATTATTGCTAAGATGGGGCTATGCAGAGAGACATGGAAGGGCAGGGGCGAGGCCTTATCAAGAAGAAGGCTTGGAGAAGCCTGACCAAATTTCAGTCAAGGACAAGGTGTTGGGCAGTTCTCAAAATTTCCTCACAGCAATGGCTGCCCATCTGAATCTGCCCACCCTGGAGTTCTCAGGTCCAGACGTGCAGGCCACCATCTCCGATATACCAGAGGATGGTATTGTCTGCCACTTAGTACCCTCACAGTTGATTCTGCTCCACAGCAAGGCCAAGAAACACTCTTGCAAACAAGTCTGGTCACTCTACATAGAAGAGTTCCTAAAATTTGATTTCACCACAAACCCCCAACAGGAGAAAACATTGCTTCCCCCTTGGGCTGAGGAGGAGAACCAGACAGGAAATGGTGTAGGAAAGTGAGCTACTAGTTAGAGTCTTCTCTCTGCATTTTCTTTAAGGTGTAGTGTAAATGAGAGCCAAGGTTACTCACCACTCAGAAAACCTTCAGAACTGTCTGGTAGGTGACGTTCCTGCACAGCAGAGGTGACCGCCCTCAACACTGTCTCCCTTAGCATCAGCACTGTCAACGATGCTGCCCCCCGACACCCCAGAGTGCAAGGGCTTCTTTTTCTCCACACAGAGCCAGTTTTCAAAGCTACAGCATCTCAGTCTCCATAAGACCCTCTGCCTTCCTTCACAAGAACAATGAGATACCCCAATTTTACATGAAATGCTGTGCAGAGGATGTTTCATTGTCTCCCTAACCACCCAGGGCTGCTTCCCCTGTGTCACTCCCACATCTGCAGCTGCAGGTGCCCCCAACCTGGTGGCACCTGCAGTGAAGGTAGGAACATGGGAATGATAAGAAGTATAAAACATTTGCTGTGTGTCACCACTGTCTGTGCTCTGTGTCATGCTGTTCAGGAGAGCAAACAGGAAATTCACAATCCACGTGTTACAGAAAGGCAAATGGAACCTTGAAGTCCTAAGGATGCATGGCTAGCAAGTGCCGTGTCTTCCCACTTGGGATCCGTTCTGAGATGAGATGCCATCCTTTGCTTCTTAGGGAACAGGGGGACAGGTGTCTGATGATCTCCGCAAGGCACGAAGTAAACCCATCTGCCAGACTCCAAGACACCATGGGATGTTGCTAAGGGCAGGGAGAGTGACCCTTGGATGAGAGAAAAGTAGCTGGCAAGAACCACTAATGAAAAAAAAAAAAAAAGGAGCACCTGCATGAGTGACTTGCTATCCTGGGAATCCCCCTTCCTCTAAGGAAGTATTGAATAACTTCTTGAACAAGAACAAGTCCAAAAGTCACTGCTTCAAAATATGGTTAATCTTTTCAAGTAGGCAAAATGTCAGTGAAGGAAAGGGTCCAACACGGCTGCGAGACCTACTTGGCCAGGTGCTGGACATAACACTCTGTATCATATTTATTAGACACCACTTGGTTGATGCAGCCTCTGCCTCTAATGATCAGGGATATGCTATGTGAACAGGTTTTGTGATTTGGTCAGTCTCCCATAGTTAATTCAGCTTTAAATGTAATTTGTGAATTTTTCATCTTTTTTTTCCTAGCCCGAAAACCTGTTGTACTACAGTCAAGATGAGGAGTCCAAAATAATGATCAGTGACTTTGGATTGTCAAAAATGGAAGGCAAAGGAGATGTGATGTCCACAGCCTGTGGGACCCCAGGCTATGTTGGTAAGGACAGCGTACGTGTGTGTGTGTGTGTGTGTGTGTGTGTGTGTGTGTGTGTCCAAGACAATTCCATCAGTTTTCTTAAGTACTTGAGCCTGACACATGATCACAGCTGCCTTCATTTCTCTTGAGGGAAGAACAAAAATATTGAGAGGCACTGGAGTAAGTTAGCAGGGAAGTGATTTCCCCAAAAACTATCTAACAACTGGGCAGAAATCCTATTTGATTTGGTTGTGGGCCTGTCTGGAGGTCAGGAGTTAACTTGGATGAATTCCCAGGTTCTAATATTACTATATATCTGTTTCTGAATGATTTACAGTGAAACACTGAGATTACAATAAGATGCAGACACAATAATGCATTCAAAATGTAGAGATAGATGCAGCCAGGGAGAAAACACAGCTGTGAGGTGCCTGGCTCAACCCTTGATAAGTCATGCTCATGAGCCAGCCAAACCTGGTCTGTTCTGACAAAGCTAAGAATTATTAGTTTTTCCTAAAATCGGAACCCCGGATTCTGTGTGCTACACACAAAACGCAGAAAGTACCAACAGATCTGAACCCTGGGATACTGAGGTTTGTCTTCTGCCTTCTAGGGAACACCTGATCTCTGGGGACTGTGTTAGTTGGCTTTCTATTACTATAGCAAATGACCTAAGATTATCAGCTTATAAAAAGAAAAGGTTCATTTTGGCTGTCTTGGAGGTTTGAGTCCATAGTTTACCCTGCTGCTGTGAGACCTGTGGTGAGGCAGTACATTATGGTGACAGCACATAGCAGAGTCATTCATCTCAAGGCTGGGGTGCAGGAGAGGGAGGCAGGGGCTAGGGTTCTGTTCTCCTCCCAAGGGCATGGCCCCCAGTGAACAGAAGACTGCCTGCTAGGCCGCACTTCTTAAATGTGCCACCACTTCCCAGTGGCACTGTGCACTGGGGAATGAGCCTTGGGAGACGCATATCTGAGCCGTAGCGGGAGCTGTGTGAACAGGTTGAGGCCTTTGTTTCCTTGGGTGTCCTTGCCCTTAACAAGTGTATAGGAAGTGCCTGCTGTGTCCAGCACTGTCCTGGACTCTGGGGGAAGACAGCAAATGAGACCAGGGCAGCACTTGCCCTGGAGGAGCTCAAATTTTAATTGGATCAACAGACAGCAAACAATGGAACAAATAAATGAACAGGGCCTTTTCAACAGTATAAGTACTCTGAGGAAAATGAAACTGAAGACGTACAATAGAGTGACAGCAGCGAGGAGAAATCAAGACTGGCCGAGAGCACCAGGAGGCTGCGGGTTTCCTGAGTTTCTTTTCTTTCCTTTTTCTGTTTTCTTTTTGCTTTCAGTATGGGAGATCAAACCCAGGGCCCTGACAGAGAGCTCCATCCCCAACCCTTTTTTATTTGTAAGTCACTGAGTGGCCCAGTCTCTGCTTGAATGTGCAGTCCTCCTGCCTCAGCCTCTGAGTGCTGGGGTTGCAGGTGTGAGCCACCACACCTGGGGGCTTGATTTCCCTGGGTTTCTAAGTGGCTGCTGTCTGTGGGTCTGGTTCTGTTCGTTCCTGCATCTAGCACTGGTGACCCCAGAGGCAGTGTTTAGAAGGGACCCTGTTCCGAAGGGCACCCAGTGGAGCCCTGGGCGATGCTGTCGTCAGGTGCTGAGTTTGCTTGAGGAGTGTTGTGGGGAAAGGAGGACTAACAGAGTACAGCTGTTTAGTTAGTTCACATTTACTGAGCACCGGGGCTCCTTGGAGTACCTTACCCGGCCTGGGTGAGTGCTGTAAAGAGGACATAGCTTTAGAGCAGAGAAGGGACTACGTGGAAGGGGACGCAGGGGTGTCTACGTGGACATGCCTTGGGAAGCCCTCGCTTGAGCTGTGGCTGTTTCCTCCCCACAGAGTCTGTATGGCAAGCTTCTATTCTGCCTTCAAAACCCAGTGCTACCCCCTTTTCACTGTTCTCCAAATATTTTGTCCTCTCCTTTCTCTTTGCCTTGACCTTTTTTGCAATCTGATGCCTCTGATCACATGGCGTGAGGAGCCATATTTCTCTGCATCTCCCCTTGTGGGTTTTGCTCAAGCAGGGATGGATCCTACTCACCTCTGTACAGATATTTAATTCTATAAAAGGGTAAGGTCCATGAATATTAGCAGCTTTTTCTTTCTCTCCTTTTGCATTCATTCAACATGCGTTTATTGAATTCCTCCTATGCACTGTGTACGGTGTTTGGTATTTGAATACAAATATATGTATAAGGTATAGTTTCAGCCCTCAAAATGTTCCCAGTGCTGTGAAAGATGGAGGATAACAGGTGAATTTAATAATGTATGGTAACTGCTATATTATTCATCCGTGCAAGAATTATTTATTTAGCACCTACCTTCTGTTTGAACCCCTGAAAATGCATCAGTAGAAGAGAACAGACAGAAATTCTCATCTTCATGGCCCTTACATTTGAGTGGGAGGGAGACAGACTCTTGCAGATAACTAAGTAAATTCATCCATGTGTCAGATGAAAAGCATTAGGAGAGAAATAAATGCACAAACCTTGAGACTGTAATGCTAAGTGAAGTAAATGAGACACACAAGACTAAATATCTGAGAAAGTCAAATTCTAAACAAAGAGCAAAATTTAAAAGAGGTAATAGGAAGTAGGGAGAGATCTTTTAAGTGGGAAGGGGATTAAGAGATGGAGGAAGGGTGGAGGGAGGAGAGAGGAAGGGTGGAAAAAGGAGTTAAGATGTGTAATGTACATGCTCCACACGAGGGATGTAAACACTATAGACTGTGCACATGTTTTAATAAATATTTTTTAAAGTTTTAAAGAAGAAGCACTAGGGAGAGGAGTAAGGCAGTCGGGGGTGATCAGGCAACCCTCACTGTAAGGGTGGCCAGGGGTACAGATTTGGTAGCAGTGAAGACTGGTGACAGAAGAGGTCAGCACGCTGCTTTGGGGATTTTTGGCTGCTCCTGACTTGGCTATCTTCAGATTTAGAAATAAATGTGTGAACACAGAATGAGAAGAGCCATTCTTTCCCCCATGGCAATTTACAACTTTGCAGCTTTAGTGCAGACTCTTAGAGTGAGAAATGTTGCTTCCAATGTGTGATCCATTGCTTATCAGTAAGATTATCTAAATGACTGGCCAAATAGTTAACTTGGCCAACATCATGTTATTACTTCAATTTTTTTCAAGGTTCATGTACTATTTTTGACTGTTACATCTTTTTCTTTTAAGTCTTCAATAAATGAACTCTCCAGTAAAGAAGAAACAATGAAAAGGAGGTGTTCTCTCCAAGTATCCCTAGGTATATGCTGTCTTAGGAGGAAAAAACAGGAATCTAACCACTTTGAACTTCATACATAGCATCTGCCCAGAGTTTATACTCCCTTAAGGATCCATGCCTCCAGCAGATCCATAGGGCACTGCAGATGTCTCACCAGCCATGTCATTGAGTTTGTACTCAGGCAGCTTAGAAGGCCTGAATCTCCTAGAGGGCTTGGTGCTCTGTCGACACTGAGAGGTTCCCTGGGAGAGCATGGCAGGTAGGTGAAACAGACGCATGTATGGTAGCATGTTCCATATATGACATAACTGACATCTTTCAGAAGCAAGTCTACTTAAAATATAGGCAGGAGAGGAGCCATCAAGGGCTGGAATGGTCAGGTTAATAATCATGAAAGAAGTGGGATATGAGGGAAGGGCAGAGCTCAGGCGAAGATAAGCAGAGCTACAAGTGCAGCATGGCAGGGAACCCAGGTCCTCAGTCATGACCTGCTACTTATAGCATCTGGGAGAGATGAGCAGATGTATTGGCTTGGGGAAGAGGCTGTTGTAAATAAATACCTACTAATAACTTAGGAGAAGTGATGGGCTGTCTGGTGGAAGTTAATTCCCAGGGTCATACGGTGGCTGCCAGATGCTATTGACTTGGATTTGGAATCCATTTAATCGAGACGATTGTACCATTCCTTTGTTGTCACCAATAAGAGGCAAAAGTCAGAGCTAAGAAATTGAGTAAATTGCTTATGCTGCCTGCTCAGTTGCATTGATTAAAACATCCAAATGGGTTCTCTTCAATGACTCAGTATCAGTAGTGAGGGACAGAAAGCATCCATTTCAAGCATGTAATTGATAGAAGACCAGAGGCAACAAATATGGTGGAGAACAGCTTGTTGTCTTTTTTCTTAATATTGCTATTTGCACACTGATGTATGTGATTGCTCAGATTCTGTGACCAGAATTACTTCTGGTTTCAGAAAGAAAATTAAACTGCTGCAAAAAGAACTTCAAACTTTGTGGCAAAATGTCTCCCAAGATGAGGGCACGTTGTTCACTGCCTCCCAGGGTGATTTCAGCATTCTGAACTTCACTTTAGAGAGGGAGAGGGAGCCGGCTGTGGAGGCTTTCATTACTTTATGATATTTTTCTGCAAAGTGAGAGATGGTTTTTCATTGAGTCTTATTGGGTGATGTTGGCTCTCTAGGCAGTATTTCATGTGGAGCATATTGCAACTGTTTCATGACTGGACATTACTTGGAAACAGGAAGAAGGGATGCCATCAGGCGCATTGTTTTTGTCCTAAGCAGAAATACCCCTTGGTTCTTTAAAGGGTGGCTAGTTGATAAGTTCCTGGAGCTGTCGCGGAAGGAGTCCTTTGAATCTGCTTCTAGAACTTAGTTGCAGTGTTGCCTGCACAGGCATAGCAGACATCTTTGTTCTAGCTCTGGCTTAACCTGCCTGAAATACTTTCAATAGTTCATCCTGTTCTTGTCCAAACGGAGATGGAAAACAGTTGGTTAGCATTTTCAGAATGTTTTTTCTTCTAGTTAGAGGAATGCCTATAATTCACGGATCACCGTATTTTTAGAACTTGATGTAAGACTTGAGGTTAGGATGAGCTCTTGGAAACCAGAGGTTACAGCCAGCTCGCTGTTGGGATGAGGACCACTGTTCTCAAGGTGACCTGGTTGTAGGTGGCAGCAGTCATGGCAGGGAACCCAAATTCCGGTATCC